TAAATACACAGAGCCTGGTCCATGGAGGGACGCAATCCTCAGGGAAGGGTTGGAAGAGCTGACACTGACCAGGGTCCTTCTGCATTGTGTGTGTGGGCAATCAAATAAGGTTAGTAACATGAGTGTGGTTTCTTTTAATTTACTGTTTTCGCTAATGTTTTTTCTATAAGAATAAATAAGCTTGTGTAGAAAGAGCTGTGTGATAGCTTAATTGTGGGCAGTTACCTTGTTAGTTTCTGAAAGAAAAAGCAAATGGGTCTGCTGAGGAAGACTTGTCTTGCTGGGACTACACAGTGAAGATGGGGAACTGTTCAGCCTAGAAATACCCCAGTGAACAGGGAGAGGGATGCAACTCTCCACTCAAGAAAGGCAAAGTCTGGGGAGCTGGAAGCCTGAGAGCAGGTGCTCTTGCTGGACCACAAAGGGGGAACACCGGTGCCATTGCCCTGAACTGAGGCACCCTGCCTTCTCAGTTTCTTTTACCACTTGTTGCTGGAGCCCTATCTCTCTCTTCTGTGGGCCCTCCCGCTCTTCCCCAGCTAAGGTCCAACTCTCCGACCTTGCTGGGCCTGGTGGGAAAAGTACTGCTCACGGCATCCCTGAGGTGCTAGAGGGGACACAAGGTACTTCATAACAGTTCTGGCCATGCAGCCCAAATGCATCCAGCAATTTCAATGTGTACATTAAGTTACACAAAGAAAACTCAACTTTAAAAAAATCTGCCATGGAGCCTCCTTAGATGACTGTACTTTCTGGCACGGCACTGCAGAAAAGATGTTACCCCCCACTGTGTCCTGACTCCTGGGGCAAAGCAACTCTTCCAAGCACTACTGGGAGTAACTTGCTTTTGTATATCACATCTGTGTTTCTGCCATGATGGCTTTATATCATGTCCATATATCATGGAGGGATAGCTCAGTGGTTTGAACATTGGCCTGCTAAACCCATGGTTGTGAGTTCAATCCTTGAGGGGGCTATTTAGGGATTTGGGGGAAAAATTGGGGGATTGGTCCTGCTTTGAGCAGGGGGTTGGACTCGATGACCTCCTGAGGTCCCTTCCAACCCTGATATTCTATGTATAAATAAAGTGGATGGGAACTCCAGGGAGGTTTCCTATCAGTCTGTGCTTGGACATTTGCTCCCACTGCCCATCCAGCCTGTATCGTGGCAGATGCTTCCTGCTGGACTTGTTCCCTGGGGCAATGAGAAGCTGTTCCCTTTCAGAGGGGAATAAAGAATATGAACTCCATATTCTCCAGCGCTAGACAGGATAGTTGCACAATCACAGAAGTTTGAAAAGCTGGTCAAAAAGCCTGGGATGAGATGAAGATTCCTGCCAGCTTAACGCAACACGACCTAACCCACTTCCTGGAATGTAACAGGACAACACTGCCTAAATGACCTTTAAATAACTCACTCATAGCTGAGACTAGATAGGCATAGCTTGTCTGAATAAAAAGTAAACATTGGTCCTTTACTGAAGAGAGTCCGAATAAAAGTATTACCCTCATGCCAGCTATTAAATACGCAGCCACATATGCAAGATTAGCAAAAAGAAAAGGAGTACTTGTGGCACCTTAGAGACTAACCAATTTATTTGAGCATGAGCTTTCGTGAGCTACAGCTCACTTCATCGGATGCATATTCAGCACATAACAGCACATTCAGCCCATTTGCTGGTTCTTGATCAATCCTCTCCAGTGGAAAGAAGGTGCAGAAAGAGCAAGTGACGCAATGATACCTGGTGGGTTCAAGCTGCCATGTTGACCTCGTGAGAGATATCAGAGCTGTTTAATCACTAGAAGCATGGCCTGGCATATCTGTAGCTGGAGTTACTTCTTGATGCATTCAAGAATCCCAGGGTCTGTTAGGACAGAAAGTGCAGCATGGACATTTCATGATAAACGGGGACTGTGACATAGAAACAATGGGAAGAATCGGCACAGATACGGTTCTCACCTCTGTCTGTCTTTCAGGTTCCATAGCCAATCTCACATACCCCAAACCCATGTGATTCATGCCAGTCAGTCAATGACATCTTCTGCTTTCCATTCTTCTACCCCTTGAAACAAACATTTGTGTATAAGAAAACAGATTTGATCCAAAATTCATAGCAATCACAGGCAAAAGCACAGAAAGAGAAAACACTAAACCATCCACGTCCATATACAAGCAGCCCCATTACTGTAAGGTGTTTCATAGTTCCATGGAATTTTCTAATCTTGCATGTTTCAGAGTAACAGCCATGTTAGTCTGTATTCGCAAAAAGAAAAGGAGTACTTGTGGCACCTTAGAGACTAACCAATTTATTTGAGCATGAGCTTTCGTGAGCTACAGCTCACTTCATCGGATGCATACCGTGGAAACTGCAGCAGACTTTATATACACACAGAGATCATGAAACAATACCTCCTCCCACCCCAATGTCCTGCTGGTAATAGCTTATCTAAAGTGATCATCAAGTTGGGCCATTTCCAGCACAAATCCAGGTTTTCTCACCCTCCACCCCCCCCCCCCTCCACAAACTCACTCTCCTGCTGGTAATAGCCCATCCAAAGTGACAACTCTCTACACAATGTGCATGATAATCAAGTTGGGCCATTTCCTGCACAAATCCAGGTTCTCTCACCCCCTCACCCCCCTCCAAAAAACACACACACAAACTCACTCTCCTGCTGGTAATAGCTCATCCAAAGTGACCACTCTCCCTACAATGTGCATGATAATCAAGGTGGGCCATTTCCAGCACAAATCCAGGTTTTCCTCCCACCCCCCCACCCCCATACACACACAAACTCACTCCCCTGCTGGTAATAGCTCATCCAAAGTGACCACTCTCCCTACAATGTGCATGGTAATCAAGGTGGGCCATGTCCAGCACAAATCCAGGCTTTCTCACCCCCCCGCCCCCGCCTTTTTTCCCAGGGACACAAACACACACACATAAACTCACTCTCCTGCTGACAATAGCTCATCCAAACTGACCACTCTCCAAGTTTAAATCCAAGTTTAACCAGAACGTCTGGGGGGGGGGCGGTAGGAAAAAACAAGGGGAAATAGGCTACCTTGCATAATGACTTAGCCACTCCCAGTCTCTATTTAAGCCTAAATTAATAGTATCCAATTTGCAAATGAATTTCAATTCAGCAGTTTCGCTGGAGTCTGGATTTGAAGTTTTTTTGTTTTAAGATAGTGACCTTCATGTCTGTGATTGCATGAAAAAAAAAGGGGGGGGGTGAGAAAGCCTGGATTTGTGCTGGACATGGCCCACCTTGATTACCATGCACATTGTAGGGAGAGTGGTCACTTTGGATGAGCTATTACCAGCAGGAGAGTGAGTTTGTGTGTGTATGGGGGTGGGGGGTGAGAAAACCTGGATTTGTGCTGGAAATGGCCCACCTTGATTATCATGCACATTGTAGGGAGAGTGGTCACTTTGGATGAGCTATTACCAGCAGGAGAGTGAGTTTGTGTGTGTGTTTTTTGGAGGGGGGTGAGGGGGGTGAGAGAACCTGGATTTGTGCAGGAAATGGCCCAACTTGATTATCATGCACATTGTGTAGAGAGTTGTCACTTTGGATGGGCTATTACCAGCAGGAGAGTGAGTTTGTGGAGGGGGGGGTGGAGTGGAGGGTGAGAAAACCTGGATTTGTGCTGGAAATGGCCCAACTTGATGATCACTTTAGATAAGCTATTACCAGCAGGACATTGGGGTGGGAGGAGGTATTGTTTCATGATCTCTGTGTGTATATAAAGTCTGCTGCAGTTTCCACGGTATGCATCCGATGAAGTGAGCTGTAGCTCACGAAAGCTCATGCTCAAATAAATTGGTTAGTCTCTAAGGTGCCACAAGTACTCCTTTTCTTTTTGCGAATACAGACTAACATGGCTGTTACTCTGAAACATGCAAGATTAGAAAATTCCATGGAACTATGAAACACCTTACAGTAATGGGGCTGCTTGTATATGGACGTGGATGGTTTAGTGTTTTCTCTTTCTGTGCTTTTGCCTGTGATTGCTATGAATTTTGGATCAAATCTGTTTTCTTATACACAAATGTTTGTTTCAAGGGGTAGAAGAATGGAAAGCAGAAGATGTCATTGACTGACTGGCATGAATCACATGGGTTTGGGGTATGTGAGATTGGCTATGGAACCTGAAAGACAGACAGAGGTGAGAACCGTATCTGTGCCGATTCTTCCCATTGTTTCTATGTCACAGTCCCCATTTATCATGAAATGTCCATGCTGCACTTTCTGTCCTAACAGACCCTGGGATTCTTGAATGCATCAAGAAGTAACTCCAGCTACAGATATGCCAGGCCATGCTTCTAGTGATTAAACAGCTCTGATATCTCTCACGAGGTCAACATGGCAGCTTGAACCCACCAGGTATCATTGCGTCACTTGCTCTTTCTGCACCTTCTTTCCACTGGAGAGGATTGATCAAGAACCAGCAAATGGGCTGAATGTGCTGTTCTGGGAGCCTCTATATAGAATCATAGGATATCAGGGTTGGAAGGGACCTCAGGAGGTCATCTAGTCCAATCCCCTGCTCGAAGCAGGACCAATCCCCAATTTTTGCCCCAGATCCCAAATGGCCCCCTCAGGGAATGAACTCACAACCCTGGGTTTAGTAGGCCAATGCTCAAACCACTGAGCTACCCCTCCCCCCCAAATTCTCATATTTCCTCCTTTTTCCTCCAGGGAGTATAATGGCAACAGGAGAGTTCATGTTGGTGAGCCAGCCACTCACCAGTGCAAATTCTGTGAGGGTCACACCTACCATGCTGATTGGTGTCTTGGGGAGGAAGGGAACTTCCCTTGGGCAGTAGTACCTGTAAATCACAGTAAAGCCTCCTCTGAGCAGTATTTATATCAGCTGTGCTAAGAGAAAAATTCTGTTTCTAGGCTGTGTGTTTGTGCTAGCAGTCTTTGAACAGAGTGGGCTCTGTTGATATTTGTTATTGTTAAGCAGGGCTAGACCTCATAGATTTAGAAATGGAGTCCCAAGTGCGTCAGAACTTCCATGTTGAGTGTGAGGCTGCTGTGAACCGCATGGTAAATATGGAGCTGTACGCTAGCTATGTCTTCCTGTCCATGGTAAATGTGTGGTGATTTTTTTTTTTTAATAAACACACATTCTTGTCTCATTATGCTCTAAGAGAGATGGGCTTCTTTTTCTAAAAGGCTTTTCCTTTTTCTTTTCTAAGTCTACTTTCCAAGTCCTAATTTCTAATGAATTCCAGTTGAGGATAGTATGTTGTTTGTGGGGCTACAGAGCCCTATCTGTATAAATCTGAGTTGACTATAGAAAGACTAATGTGTTGTCTGCAGAATGATGTCATTTAGAGAGTTTATTCTTACAGGATTGAATGCAGGGAACTTAATACAGCTATCTGAGTGGGACTCAGCAAGTCTGGCTTTGATTCCTAGCTCTACCCTAAGCTCCCCTGTGATCTCTGGCCTGCCACCTAGTTCCCCTCTGTTTCCATTCCCTGTTCATCAAAGGGGATGAATGCTCCTTGACTGCACAGCCTGAAGCTCAAAGAGTGTTTCTTGCCAAGTACAGTGCCTTCCAACACAGTGGGCTGAAAACCGAGGTTAGGGTCTCTAGGTTGCTATTCTAGTCCAGATAAAATGTTAGAATCTTCTGTCTCTCTAGCCCAAGTCAGTAAACGTTGCATTTGCTATTCTTCAGTCCTACTACTTTGACTGTGATGCTGTGGCCCTGAGGCATATGGCTGAGTTCTTGAAAGAGCAGTCCCATGAGGAGAGGGAGCATGCTGAGAAACTCCTGAAATATCAGAATAAGCGAGGGGGGCTCATTGTCCTGCAGGACATCAAGGTAGCAACAAAGTAACATTGTGTCCCTAGAAGGGCTCCCATAAACTGGACTTCAGAGAATGGGGTTAGTAGCTGTGCTTGGGGTGTAGTACTAATTCTCTTCTCTAGGAGTAAGCGATAGGCCTTGCTCAGGCATTTCTAAGAGTGAACCCTGTAGCAAATTAGGGAGAGTTGCATGGTTCAGGAGCACCAGACCTTGGCCATCTTATGGTAAAGGGTGAGTATGGACATGGGTTGATATACATGAGCCTGTGTTAGCTAAAAGCACAGAACAGGCTTGCTTACCTGTGACCTGACCATCTACTCCCTCACTTCACAAGCAACAACTTTGTGTTGTATTTATAGAACATGAAAATCCAGGGATGCCTAGTGCTGTTAGCAGTGGGGTGGAAAGCTGCCTTGGTTGTGAAACTACAGCTCTACAGTGAGCACCCTGAGGTGTTTTGTTCTCCAACAGAATCCAGAGCGGGATGAGTGGGGGAATAGCCTGGAGGCCCTGCAGCTGGAGAAGACTCTGAACCTGGACCTGCACAAGCTGGCTACTGAGAAAAATGACCCCCACGTGAGCGTGGTAGTGGAGAGAGTGAAGGCAGTAACTACATGCAGTGCTGCTTTGACAGAGGTTTGGAGGGGGGTGGGGTTTGCTTCTCCATCTGAAGCAGCCCTGAAACTGGGGATGTTTGTGGTAGGTAACAATGCATAGATCCAACATCATACGTTCTCAGAATGTTTAATTTCCTACCTTGGGCACAAAGTAGCCAGGCTTTGAACCTGTACAAGATGCCCAGTGGAGAAATGACCTTCACCTGAGTGTGGTCAGGAGAATCATGCGCACGTACCCTCTGGCTTGGAATACAGCATGTGCTCCTGCCCTCACCACTCAATGTGTAAAAGACAGTGAGTGGCATGTCAAATATTGCAGCATAGAAAGAGATTTGTTCTTGCTAGTCCTGTGTATAAAGGGGAGACTTCTTAAACATGGAGAGGGTAAGGTGCTTACCTGTCCTTTGTGTCCCTTGAAAACTACTCCTCAAAGGGCCTCTCTAGCCCTTCCCAACCCCAGGGGAAAATGCCAGGTTGATGAGAAGCTGCGCTAGCTTCTGAATTTCTGCAACTATAGGGTTTTCATACCCTGGTCAGTAGTGAATACCCCCATTCTCAAGTGACATGGACCATTTACTGCACATGAAATTTGAGATAATCTCGTTACCAATAGCACTGTTCTCTAGCTATTTCTACCTGTACAGTGGCTTCTACACCACGTACAGTACTAGAGACTCTGAACTGTCCTATAGTTCATTGCTTCAACACCATTTCTCGGCACAATGCCCAAAATGGGGGTCACTAAATGCCCTATTGCATATGAGAGAGCAAGAGTGAGTCCATATACCCTAACCATCCTCTCTCCTCCTACAGCTGTGTGATTTCCTGGAGTCTGACTACCTGGAGGAGCAGGTGAAGGCCATTAAGCAGCTGGGAGACCACCTCACCAACCTGAAGCGCCTGGAAGTGCCTCAGAATGGCATGGGAGAGTACCTGTTTGACAAACACACCCTGGGGGAGAGCAGCTGAATGGCACAGCAGAGGCTTAGAATGCATTATGCTTTCCTGGAACCTTGTATCCAGGGCAAAGAATAGTTTGACAAATCCTTAAATGCTGAGAATAAAATTCTCTAATCCCTGAGCCTGGACTTGTCTTTGAATAACATAAGCCACTTAGTGTGAGCTTTTCCCCATAAGAAACAATCTGTGTTGGAGGCTATATTTCATGACTTGTAAAGTCTGATTATGCCAGGGGAGAAATTAGGGCTTGATTACATCACCCTAGTGGCAATCATGAAACTCTCTGCAATAGAGAAACCACCACACAATCTGGCTGTACTACAGTGGGTTTAAAGAGGTGATAGACTTACAAATGTAGCCAGGGGGTGAGAACTGAGCTGCCAGTACCTCCAGGTTGGTGCCAATAACCCAGCATCTTATAGACCTATCTAATTGTAAAAATTCCATGTGTAGTGTATGCATTTTTTTCTTTCCTCTGAATGCTTCACTAAAAACCAGCCTGAAGTCTTAGTTCTCTAAGTGGCTTGATTTACCCTGTAACAGTACACTTCACCATCTTAACTTTTATTCTGAATGCTCCTGCATGTCCTTACAGAATCAAAAAAAGGAAGCTGGGGATTGAAGGCAACATAACATGCACCTGTCTACTTCCCTTGTTTGTTCTGATATTTCTGGACCCTCTCAGCTGGCTCCCTGCCCTTATGAGGGAAACTGGGCCCCGTGCCTCAGGACCATGTCCTCACAATCAAAATAATAAGACATGGGGAAAGGACAGGAGCTCTGTGGAAACAGTGTTCGTTAGCTTGGGATGCAGAGACAGATTCTTATGTGTTAATTACATTAGAAGAACAAGAGAAGCCCAAACTTAGGTTAGGAGCCCATTATCTTTGACAGTTATTATCTGTTGCTAGAGCATTCATAATGAGATAAATGTAGGGGAGACTTGTCATCTCTCTATCATCAAAAAATAAATCTTGCTACTCAAATGTAAACAAGCTTCCATTGTTAAAATAATGCATGAGTCTAGTGCCTCAGCATGAGAGGGATGCAAGGGGCACTTGTTGGGAATATATCAGCATAATGCTGAGCAATGGAGAATAATAAAAGCAGTGCCTGGCATGTGGCAAGGATGAAGTAAATGTTGTGGGAAGCAGAGTGGTTGTAAGGGCCTTGAAGTTTCCAAGCAGAGGATGGGGCAGCCATGACTACACCTGAGACAATAGAAGCTTACCTGATGATGCTTCAACTTCTTGGCTCATAATAAGCTTTCAAAGCATTCGGTTGTGCTGCAGGCTCATATGGCAGGATATGACCCACTACCCCCTCTGTAACAGGAGAGGATTGGCCTGAACAGAATGTGTGACCTCATAAGTTGAATGACCAGTACCTCTTCTGGCTAGGCCCTTTGGACTCTTTAACAGATAATCAATATAAGCGTTTTTTCCCCGTACTGTAATTGGTGAGTCTGCTTAGCTCTTCAGGAATGAAACCAGAATGACTCAACTAATCTGATCCTGTTCCACATCAAAAACTGGGAAGATGTGTGTTCTTTAAGCAGTTATATCAGGTGTCTCAAAGCTCACTGTAGCGGCAATGTGGCAGAGGGACTAGCGCTGAAGGAAACATCCACAGGTATATCATACTTTTGATTTGCACAAAGTGATGGATGAGACAACGTGATCTATGCTTTCTTGTCCCTAACTTGACAGCAAGGTTTACTTACCTGTATTAAGGTGAGATAACGATTAGCCCTGGAAATGTTTCATGGCATAATGAGTTTCAGAAGTAAGCCTGCTACCCAAACATCCTCTGGGCAGGGTGATAGAGCAGGGGGCTAAAAAAAGCTGGAAGAACAACTTTGGCTACCTGGTTCTGGCTGATTAGGGGTCGGGTAATAAGGAAAATCTGTCCCAGCTCTGGCTGTTGTGGTTCTACTTAAAAGAGCATCAGGACTTCTGTAAAGTACACGGCAGTGTGCAGGCTGGGGTGTGTGAATTTCAGAACACCCCAAAGTGTTGAGTGCTAACTGCCCTGTTTGGATGCTGCCAGTGTGACCTAAAAGGTACCTAATTGATGTGAATACAGTCCTGCTTGAAAGAGGATTGTTAATGTGAACTAAATTCCTTTTATTCACTCCAGTACTGTCCACGTGGGGGCAGTTAGCATGCGGGTGTGCTCTATAATTCACCTTACTCCCCCATAATATGCACTGCTGTGCGCTTTAGACAGTGGCACATGCTTTCCTTGCTTGTGAACAGACTGTCTGCCTTGCAGCATTAAATCCTAGTGTGAGTGCTGCTGGGGGTAAGATGAAGACAAGTCACAGACTGCACATCTAAATAGTAGTATCCATCTGAACATCAAGAATTAGAAACGAGCCTTCTGCTGAATGACGGGAACTTGCTGTGTTAGTTGTGGTGCTCGGAGATAATAGTGGATTTCAGCTACAGCTCTAAAGAGATGGGTCTCCAAGGCAGCCTAACAATCACAGGTGTCATGCAAAGCTTCTGGCATCCAAGAAGCTCTGACAATCAAAAGCAGAATTCCTAGAGCTCATTAAGCCATATGCACGGTAGGCATTATGGCCCCAGAGTCCTCATTCCAGCTGCTTCTCTTCAGAGCAGGGGCTTGAGGGGAATCACACTTGTTTGCTGCTTTCTCCACAGTAGCTCAAATCTCCTGGTCAGTGGAAACAAAAACACCAGGGAGGGAGGGATCTGACCATGCTAGTGGAGGAAAACAGCCACAAAGCTCAGCAACTCTACATTGTTTCAGAGCAGCAGGTGCCCAATTGCCGAGTCACGCTGTGCTGATTGGGTCCTTGATGGGGAAGGGATTTCCATTGGGTGGCAGAAGCTACCCTTCACACCCACACCATGCTCCAGACAGTATTAAAACCAGCTGTGAGGTGAACACTTTCTATGTCTTCTCTGGGGTGGGTTATTTCAGTAGGGTGGGGGCAGGGCTTGGTGAGCGTTCAGCTTTTGTTAGCCTTTCTTTTGTGAAGTGCTGTGATGGAGTCTCAGGTACGCCAGAACTTCCACCGGGAGGGTGAGGCTGCTATCAACTGCATTGTGAATTTGGAGCTGCGTGCTAGCTATGTCTTCATGTCCATGGTGAGTCAGAGGCTTTCTTAAGAACTTTTTTTCTGTTTTCTGCTTCAACTGTTACTCCAAATACTACAACAAAGTCCTGTGAAACTTTTTTGAGGTAGCTGAGGCTTTTTGATAATAGAATTATAAATGCTTACTCAGAGATTGTAGTAACTCACCTGGTTGCTTTGGCAGAGATGGAGTTGAACAAGAGCCCTGGGGAAATCTGAGAGTACAATAGAGAATGCTTCAGAGGTGGGACTAAAACTCTGCTAACTCTATACTATTGCTATTGGATTACACATGTATGTGGCATTTAAGGACTCTGTGGACTGAGTTCTACACTAGCAAAGATCTTTAATATCTCACTGCCTGGCTGGGTGTATCAATCTTGTACTTCTTCCCAGTCTTGCTACTTTGACCGTGATGATGTGGCCCTGAGGCACATTGCTCAGTTCCTGATGGAGCAGTCCTATGAGCATAAGGAGCATGCAGAGAAGTTCCTGCAATACCAGAACAAGCGAGGGGGACGCATTGTCCTGCAGGATGTAGAGGTGAGGGGGTGGGGAACACGATCTCTTCAGTGTAGTCTCTGATCTATAAGATGCCCTGGGGAGGGACTACTGAACTCAAAGCTCCTGTATTGTGGGGAAAAGGTTCAAATTCTGCTTGGCACCATACACTTCTGCTTTGTGTAACAACTTCCCATAGATGGATACACTCTATCAAGTCAGGTCGGTGATGAGCTCTACCTGTTTACTATGCAGGGTGTAACCTATGGACTGGGGACTAGAATGGGCTTGTGATCCCTCTTCTATCTAGCCACAGGCATGAGAGGTATAGTGAGGGAATAAGCTTGGAGAGCTGCTGCTTAGTACTAACCTGTCCTAGTGGGTGAGCTCAATTAGCTGTAAATGTCTTGAAATCACATAAAATGTGCCTCTTTCAGAGTTGCAGTATTGGTGTTGACTTCTAGTAGCAAAGGGAATAATGACCTACGTTGCAAAGGGACTATTGGCATACTGGCCATAACAATACTAGAGAAAAGAAGAGCAGCAGGGCAGATTTCCTCACTAGGGCCTAAAAGTTAGCAGAGCTAGAGCAGGTATGGGTTGTGACTAACCTTCTTGGTGGCTATTTAACAGAAGCCAGAGCGGGACAAGTGGGGGAACAGCCTGGAGGTCCTGCAGCATGCTCTGCAGCTGGAGAAGACCTTGAACCATGCCCTGCTGGACCTGCACAAGGTGGCTACAGAGCAGAATGATCCTCATGTGAGTATAAGTTGGCAGGAGAAACGGGGGCTGCAGTCAGCAAAGTTCAGAATGGAAGTTAATGGAAACTCAGATCAAAAATATCTTCCTGGTTTGGGGGGAAAACAGGGCTTTGGTAAAGGGACACTTTTTTTTTTCCAGGAAAGTTACAACTGTTAAGATTTGACAACTTCAAAACTATCTTTTTACCTTCTGAACCACTTTATTTCAAACATTTTTTTTTTTTGTCTTCTCTCCCTTTCTGGCCACACAGTGTGACAGAATGAAGTGTTTAAGTTCCCTAGTTTTCTTCCTTCACTTTCCACTCCAACTTCTAAAATAGCTTCCAGCTCTCCAGAAGCTATTTTCCCTCCCTCCTTTGAGACCACAGAGGGGCACTAATTGGGGTGGGAATTAATATGGGGTTATACCTGTAGCAGATTGAAAGGGTGGCTTTAGCCCCTAAGTGAGGGCCTAGTTCATGCCACTATATGTAGCAGTGTTTTCCGCCTCTTTACTACACTCAGTCTGAGCCCTGAAATAAATGCTTTCTGAATTAAGTAGCAAAATATCAATGGCCAGCAATTCTCATGGATAGGCTCTAGCTACTGCAAAACATTCTCTCATCGTCACAGTTGTTCCTCATTAGAGTGAAAGTGGCCCAAGGAGTTCCTGGACCTAGCTGGAAAGGAATAACAGGAGGGGAGCCCTCCTGAAAAAGGCAATGGCTAGCTAAATGGAAAGCCCTAAACTGAGGGGGCAAACATGTACAAGTCAATGCAGTATAAAACCGGCAGAAAGGTGAGCATGGAGAACTAAAATGGGAGGTAGCAAAACATTTATTTAGAAATAGTGTAATGTCTGTACCCATGTCCTTTACAGTGATCTTAACCTCCTGCCATGCAATAAATGAGTGACACACTCTAGGATATTTCCTGCCTACGTTGTACAGAATGTTCCTGAAAGACTATCACCAGTATGAAATCCTGTAATACTTCTCCATTGTATGTATTGTTTAATGATGACTTGGGGTGGATGTAGGGGATCTGATTCCATGTAAACCGCCATTGAGGTGTTACACTTTTATGCTTCAAACCTTAAGAAAGAGCAACCTTTCTTCTTAGTCCCAGGATCCTCCAGGTCACTCATTCGGCCAGCTCATACATAGCATGTACAGTTAGTAAGTTAAGATTTGTGAGACTAAATGTCAAGTAATCCGCCATCTCTCTACTAAGCACATAGGAGCTGGAATGAGTCTTCCTGTTGTCACTTTCTGCAGCTCTGTGACTTCCTGGAGTCTGACTACCTGGAGGAGCAGGTGAAGGCCATCAAGCAGCTGGGAGACCACCTCACCAACCTGAAGCGCCTGGGAGCACCCCAGAACGGCATGGGAGAGTACCTGTTTGACAAGCTCACCCTGGGGCACAGCAGCTGAAGTCTGCACTGGGAGCTGCAATGTCCAATTGAATATATTACCCTTCCCATTAACCAATACATCTTTTGATTGGTTAAGTGCTGACAATAAAACTTAATCTAGGATCTGTGTGGTGTGATTTTTTTAGTGTATGCAATGGGATTTTGGACACATGGTGACCACCTGTCCTGGAACAAACAGGAAAGAATGATAGGATTCATCTAGTAGACTGAACTGGCTATTTTGGGTGCTAAGAAAAGGCATTTGAAGTGGGTAGAGGCAACATACAGTAATTCCCATGGTCTGTGCACCAGGGAGAGAAGCCTTTCCTCTGCTAGCAACACATTCCTCAACACATTTCAAATCTTCTACCTGAAACTCAACTTCAGAGGGCCCAAAGCTAGACATCTGGGTAAAGTTAAGAGTGATCTGGACCTCCTGTTCTAAGGCTCTATTCTTATTTCTTCCTTCTATTCTTACCTCCCTCCTCTCCTCCCCCCCAGCTCATGTGACCACTTCTCTTCCAAATAATTTTCTAATTATGTTGAGAGAGGGGCTGACAAATTAGTTATCCTCCAAATGGAGCGTTTCTCACTGATGACAAACCCTTCGGCCTCTACCCAGAACTAACTACAGGGGATTCTCCTGTTGCTGAACTACTTCAACTCTCCTTCCCTTCCTGCAACTAGGGCTGGAATATATGTGGAGGCATTTGAACAAAATCAGTAGTGGGTGACCCCAATATGTGTTTCTTGCACAGGTGCACTGAAGCATTTTCACCTCCACAGGGAGGAAAATGGGGGGGGGGAGGGATGAGTGGCTGTTTCTGCATAGGGATAATGGAAAAGGTGACCCAGTGTCTCTTATTATATTAGAGAAGAAAATTGTGACTTGCAGGAAGGAGTGAAATGGAGATCATGCAGGGCTTCCAATTGTGGTTGCTTGACATTAGAGGGTTACAATACTACTTGTATTGTCACCTGACGATGACAATGACTAATGTGTATATAACTTCACCCATTTGTTCCTGAAGACATCTTAATTCCTCCTCCTGAGCTGTTGTATGTATCTTCAGCAACTGGCAGATATATAACTCTGAAGCTATGCTAGTTCACACCAGCTGAGGTTCTGGCCTCCTGCAAGTTCTTTACAGTTGGTAGTAGAAATTTCATCTTTGCTAAGACTTGGTTAAGCTTATCTTGTAAAAGCAATAATTGGAGCTGGCCAGGAAAGGGCATTTCCATCCTGTGTGGAATTTTGGGTCTTTGAAAAGTTCTTCTGTGCTGAATGTAAACCAACTTAGGATGTGTTTTCTTGTCTTCTACAGTCCATCGGGGGCTTTCCAGTCCTCTTCCTCTTCTGTAGTTGAGAATCAGTTCTGTCTTGTCTTATACTATTTTGGCTAAACATCTTCCTTCCAGTTGCTTTGCTGCAGCAGAATTCTCTATGGTGTCTGGAGACCATGAAATGGGAGATGAGGAACTAAGATGGTGATATGCTTAAGAATAAGCCCCTTCTACGGCAGCTCTGTCTGACTTCTTTGGGAATGTGGACAAGTTGCTTACTATCTCCTTGCCTCGGTGAACAGCCTTCAAACTAGAGAACTTTGTTCTCAACTGTGGTTGTGAGAAGGGATGTTCACTAATGATACTAGTTAGCTCAAACATACAAGTGCCAACATGCAAAAGCCTGAGCGTTTTCCTCTAGGAGGACAGAGGGACAAAGATCCCATAACTTAGCATGACAGCATAGCTCACCACTGTAGGTTATGTGTACTGAAATGCAATGGTGCCTATCCTAGATGGAACAAACCCATCTTCTAACCTTTCTTTCCTTTTCTGGCTGCAGCTGTGTGACTACCTGGAGGAGCAGGTAAAGGCTATCAAGCAGCTGGGAGACCAACTCACCAACCTGAAGCACCTGGGAGTGCCCCAGAATGGCATGGGAGAGTACCTGTTTGACAAGCTCACCTTTAGGCCTTCACAGACAAGGTGTAGCAACCTAGGGCCAAGTGCTAACAATAAAACGTTCTATGCATCCAGTATCCTGTATCTTTGATTTGGTCAAGATGACAATTCCTCTTCTGCACGCTCTGTGCAGATGAGATGACTGTTATTCTGGGCCATGGCAGTAGGATCCTACTGAGGGAGAGTAGCTGAACAATGCACATGGGAGACTCTCCTTTACTAGCATAGTAAAGCTGGGTTGATGGTCATCCAAGTGCTGAGAATAAAATGTATTAACCTGTTGAAATCTCTAAGGTGTCTTTCTTTCTGGGGGGTGTGGGATGGGAATCACAGGGAACATGGTGGAGGTTGAGGAAGGCTGCTATTGGAAAGGCTTAGCCTAGATATACATCCCATGTGTGCTCTCCTGGGGGAGGGCTCGGCGGTTGTATTATGTCTAATGTAATTTCTTTCTGGGTATTGTAGGAAATCGACCAACTACACTAACTCATGCCTAGTGTGATATCCTTTATGCCAGGTCTAGGGCTAAAGGCTCTACAATGTCCCTTTGTGGGTTGAAGGACAGAACTTCCATCCAGTCCCACATTCAGCTGTGTAGAAGCTGGGGGTAAGAGGAGTGTGCTAATGAGTAGTATTGCTATCTGACACATGGAAGAGGTGGGGGGGAAACCAAAGAGCTGGCTTAGAGAAGTGACTGGAGATAGTGCACCCCCTGGCAGGGGGACCTTGGCTTACAATTCTTATTGCTCAGCTTCCACTGGGAAGGGAAAATCTGGTGACGTAACTAGAACGAGTCACAGATCAATGAAGGGAAATCTATTAATGCCCTGATTTCAGAACTGTTGTGAAGCCACTTTCTGCTCAATGCTGTACCCTCAACACCAGTGCCTTCTAGGACATTGGATGGTGCTAACCAACTGCATCATAGAATCATAGAATATCAGGGTTGGAAGGGACCTCAGGAGGTCATCTAGTCCAACCCCCTGCTCAAAAGCAGGACCCATCCCCAATTAAATCATCCCAGCCAGGGCTTTGTCAAGCCTGACCTTAAAACCTTCTAAGGAAGGAGATTCCACCACCTCCCTAGGCAACACATTCCAGTGTTTCACCACCCTCCTAGTGAAAAAGTTTTTTCTAATATCCAACCTAAACCTCCCCCACTGCAACTTGAAAGACCACTCTGTCTTTTTCTGGAACTAGCATGATCCTCCCTAGCAATATAGCCACGAGCACTGAGGTTGCTGATTTTTGTGATGCTGTGTGAAAATAAAAACAAGTGACTAAATACAGCTTCTGGAAAAATGTTCAATACACTCAGGCACTGAACCGGGGTGTGTGTGTGTGGAGGGGAATGAAAACTTGCAATTTGTGTGAAACAAGGGTCAAAGAATAAGCACTCATCAAACTGTTTTATGCAACTTTTCTTTTGTTTACATTCACACTAAAGCTTCCTAAAAAAGTGAAAAGGATAAAGCTGAAACAATGTGTTTTGAACCTTCAGAATGAATTGTTTCAATAATGTCCCATTCAAATATGAAGGAAATTGATATCTTCCCAATATCTACCTCTTGCTTTTGTCCAATCAGGATTTTGTAACTGAAAAATTAAGTTACAAGAGGTGGGACCTTCTCTAGGTCTAAAGCTAGATTGCTGGGGAAGGACTAATAGTACTTCTGTCTGCTTGTGTGTAGGCATCAGGACCATATCGTCCTTGGTTTCTTAGCATTCAGGAGTGGAGGGGAGCTGACCACCGAAGGAGAAGCATCTCTTGCTGCATCCCTATCTCCTATGTCTGACATGAGGGATGTGGCAACAGTCCTGCCCTGCCAACTCATGCTTCCAGCAGCTAAAATGAATGCTCCTGAGGAAAAATTAACCAAATTTTCTGTCAGTCTTGTTGCCTCTGCTCTTAAGGTTCCTTGCTGAATTTGCTTTGGGACACTTCCTAGCAGACCCCACAGAGTTTTCAGTCCTCTGTGTCGTGACTGCAGGGGAAAAGCAACTCTGGCAGCCCTGTTGGTGATAACTTGGGCACCAGTTTGCACTGGCCAGCAGGCCTGTCTTTTTGCAGAGAAAGAGGTTTCCTGTTGGAGGGGCTCCATAGTTCAGTCAGAAACTGTTCCCTTTCCCGGGGCGATAGAGAGGATGAATTGCAGCTTTTTTAGCACCAGGCAAAAATAGCTGTGTTTTTGCAAAGGTCTGGGGAGCTTGGCAAGATGGCTGTGAGGGGGATATTTGTGTTGCCAAAACACCGGTGCCTAAATCACTAATGCATGTCTCATCAGAATAAGATATTCAAAAGCACTTAAGTGCCATTTTGGAAAGTGACTTAGGAGCTCATGTCCCAGTGCTTTTCAGTGATTCTCACACTTTTGAGTGCCTCAGTCACTCTTGGAGGTGGGACTTGGGTGCTTTTGAAAACTTATTCCATAGTGTCTAAGTAAACAGCATGACAGTAAAACTATTAGTTTCCTACATGGTTCTAAATTTACAGCTAGTTACCCAAGGCTAGGAAATGCCAAGGAAGTGAGCAAATAAAACAATCAGCTAAGTAACTTGTTCAAGGAGAGTCCATAACCCCCACCCTCCTCCTACTGTGGCTGTAATTACAACAGATAATGTTATCTTGATGAGCCAGCCTCTCAGCTGTGAACATTATGACAGTCCCACCTACAATGCTGACTGGTGCCTTGCTGAGGAAGGGAATTTCCATTGGTCAGCATCAGCTGCCCATCACAAGCATTCCCTACTCTGAACAGTATTAATGCCACCTGTCTTCAAGTGCAAGTTCTGCTTGCCTTTGGGGGTGTGTATTCCTCTTAGCTTAGGTGCTTTCAGATTTTTTTCCTTAGCTGTTACAACTGTATTCTCTAGGTCTTGAAATGGAATCCCAGGTGCGTCAGAACTTCCATGCTGAGTGTGAGGCTGCTGTGAACCGCCTGGTGAACCTGGAGCTCTATGCTAGCTATGTCTATCTGTCTATGGTGAGTATGCTAGTTCTGGGTGTTCCTTTCCTCTCCTAGCTAATGAGAGTGAAAATATGGAACAAATACTGTGTGTGATCTTGGTGGTGACATCTCTGTGCTAGTGAG